GTTAGGGGATTCGGAAGACAAACACATATACCCAGCAGAATTCTGGCGTTGATAGTCCCCTCAAATATACCAACATAACTCGGCACGAATCAAGTTGTCTAGACAAATTACACGAGTGAACTGCAGCCAGAGAGCAGTTAAAAAGCGGAGCTGTTGAAGTTTTGGAAATGACTACTGACCCTCTTTTCCCGCCTAAAACCAGTGTTATTTGCCAAAATAACCTACGGCAAATTTGAGGTTGAACGACCGTGAAAGAGACTATTCATATCATCTTTGTCAATAGCTGTGCGTAAGGTGATTTTGACACAAATTTCTAAACTACCATATAGAACCCGACAGTTCGAATATCACGAAAATTATGATTAAACTCTACAGTTGTAGAAATCTCGAATTTATTGTAAAGCGATTACAACAGTCACATTTTCTTTCCTTGATGGTTTGGTGGGGTGGGTGGCGGAATAGATAGATACGCATTGGAGGCTGTACCTGTTATGACTGATGCGTCAATACAAGGGTGTCGGTGGACCAATCATCAGGGATATAGACAGAGAAGCTATTCATTAAATGCAACAGCCTGGATGCATGGACGCCACTGAGGGTGAGGCAGGGACATGTGTGACAGTGTCTCTGAACATTGCTGTGTTCCGTCTCGGAGTCTGCATCCAGAGAGACGGGTGGTGATGGTTTTCAGATTTCCTTTCCAAACCACTATTTAATCTCTCCTTTCTGCGAGTATGTTTAAAAAGCTGTTCGAGATTGCTTGCTGAAAGCAGTTTTGGTGTTCCAGAATTTGTTACAGGTTGGAGATATTATTGGCGCCTCTCACTGTGTTCAGTCGAACTTTGATGGATAAGGCCGGAAAGCAACTTATATGCCACAGCTGATGCCACGGTGCTCTTCAGTGTCCACACGTCCTTTCCAAAGATGCGCATGACCCTCGATGTATCTCATTCTGCGGAAGTTTTCTGTCTATATCATATTGCATCAATGAGCTTTGTCAGATGGGCCATCAGGTATTTTCCGCCTTATTTGAAGAGGGCTGGATGCAAGCCATCCGAGCCTGGTGTCTTCTCACTTTTAACACGCATGATTTGTTTTTTATTCCTTCCTCTGAGGCGCGATTAAGGTTTATAATCAATAGCCCGTATGAAAAATCCTTAGAAACTATGTTGAAGAAGGCCAACTAAACTATTTCTCGAAGTGTTCAGCGAATATTTCCAATTGGCGTTTTTGTGAGTGAATTAATGGGCCGCCCTTTCCATTGCACTACTTTTGAGTTCCTCTGCTCAGTCGATTGTATCACCTTGTTTTGGGGGCTGCTGTTCACGGAAGCAGCGGTCTCCCCCGTCTCGTTGGCTTTCGATTTTCAGCAGAGCTCTTGGGCTTTTCTTCGGCTCTTCACTATTTGGTTTTTGAGAGATTTGCGTGCTCGTTCCGCTGCTTGTCTGCCGGTATGGATTTCCTGACAAAAAACATTGCCAGTGATCTCGACAATATCCAGTGATCAGTTGGCCGTATCGGAAACTTCGGACAGAGCCCTGAGCGCCACTAGCATAGCTCCTTTCGCATTTTGCCGTGCCTCATCCACGTGCTCACTACCAGCCCACTGTTGGCTTACTGTAAATAGTAGTTGGTCTGGCCCAGAAAGAACGACCATTCCGAAGTGTTGTTCTCCATCGGAAGGGTGATAGTTACGTGATTCCACCTGGTCCATTTTGCGCTTAATAACAGCCATTTTACGTGATGCAAACGTGTGAACTAAAAGTTCTTACTAGCAGGAAACGCGTGATGATCAGCACAAAACCTGAGATATCACTTATCTCTTCTTGTGCTACGCATCGACCACTCATGGATCTTAGATGACCCACCTGGGCAATTATATCACCCACAAGAATCGTAGCGTCGGTGTCTCTTGCTTGATGAACGACGCCAAATATCTCTTGATAGAATATATCCTTCCCAGGGTCAGAGCTGCAGTCCGTTGAGGCATATATGGTCACTACAAATTGGTACCGCTTTTTGTGCCGAAAGGCATTGGACGTGGTCCAGCTGGCTAACCGAACGACTAAAGACGACTGTTCACTGGGATCCAACCCAGTAAGCCACCTTTGACTCTTCGACTGAGTGCAACTCCCACGCCATATATTCCACGAGCCATTGCTTCTGGTTCTTCGGACAAATGGAGAATGAAATGTGAAATAGCTGAGTTCGTCCCTGGCATTCTGAGATGTATGACCGCGATCGGGTCTCATATGCGTGGTTTGGAGACATGGCATACATCAACTTTGGGGGAGTGTAAGGTATGGGCAAGCGTTGACTCTCTGTTTATATGACTTGCGGTTCAGATGTGGGAAGCTCGTGAATCTAGCATTGTTATTTTGTCTATTGTTAATGAGCATCGGGTTGCTTCAAGCACATCGGTGAGACCACTGACAATCAAATAACGAATTGTTTGCTTGTGTGGTGAAAAGGAATTCGAAAGAGACACGATGAAAAGAGAACGTTGTGTGCAAACGATGCTACTGATTACCTGGACCGAGGAACGGACTTTGGTTGAGACACCCAGCTTGAGACTTTGATTCCAAATTTGGACCCATAGGCGGTGGGAGGATGTGTAATCTTGTTCGGAGAACCTGCGTCTATTCTCTGACTCATAGATCTGACCCGCGCTGCTGCATGCAGTGCTCTACCCCGAAGACTAGGAGTCAATAGTCTGACTTGCTCGGCTGCAGGAGGCTGGCTTTAAACGAGAGCACAGGAAATTATGGCATTACTGTCTCAATCCTGATGCGGCTGCTTATAGCAGGTGCTTTTGAGCAACAGCAGACTCTTTTCTTCAAAAGTCCTTCATAATGTGCCGGCGGTCATGGTCAACCATTTGACGATCGGGGTGTCCGGTGTTTGGGGCTGACCTTTTCTAGCCCACCTTTCCTCCGGCAAGTAAGCACCGTTGCTTTCGTGAGTATGGACGCACTGGTCGCCCGGGGAGTACACTTTACTGCCTTAACATTCATATCTCATTCAACAGCACAACCTCATCCCCAGACCGGCTCGTAGCACGAATACGCGTAGTTTTGATTATCGCTGCTCTTGGTCTGCCCGCTCCGCTTTGGCCTTCATGGCTTGGTTGAAAATTGTGGAACGAAATTCCACCCATTGTAGCCGTGGGATCATTGCAACACTCAAGCCCGACCCCCACGTCACGGTAGCAGCTTTATGTAGGGTCGTTTTAAGTATAGATGAGTTCCGTTATCGTTCATTCATCTTATCAAATGGTAAGCTTTTCACGACCCTTTCTAATACTAACCGCTTTGTGCTCTTAGCTGCTCTCTTTTATGTATCGTCACAACCCGGACGTTTTTCAGTCTCTGCCGAATCTTTCACAACGGGCAACCATGAGTTGTATGCTGCCTAGCAAACTGACCACTGGTTTCCATAAACTCCTTATGTGGTGTCTTGGATGATACACCAAACTTTGTAAACGTTGCATTTGCCACCAAACTAGCAACCATAATGACGATGAGAGGCACATCAGTGTGCTATTTTCATAACGACCTTCATAACTTATTTCAATCAAGAAGTACCCCAATCGCTAAGAAACAAGAACGCTTGGTGTGCACACTCCCCGGATGTAATAATTATGTTGCTATCGACTGAACCGAGAGATGGACTACTAATCCACTGAGGACAAGGGTTCACCAGCCATCTGATACCTTAACAAAAAATCGAGAAAATTACCGACGCCTTGTTTTGTCTTTTAACTGCCAACTGCCTGCTTGAAACGTTTTGAAGTTGCGGTAGAGCATAAACTGTCGTTTGCGGAATACGCCGCAATGTCCTCACATATTTTATCCTAAAATTAATTTGAACTAGTGCGGCTAATAACATACTTTGTTTCCGCTATTTTTCTATCGACCGCGCACTGTGTTCGTCAATAAAACGCGCGTTGAGTTTCGTCCTCTATCAGGATGATAGAGATCAGCGAATGGTCCGGAGTTATCCCAAACCAAACTTAACAAGATCTTCTACACCATGTCCACAGGCATTGGACGCCTACTTCCTTTGCGACAATTCTGTCTGTTTTACTGCTACCGGGGTGTTCATAAACCCTCTGATATCAGCTTGATTTCACGGTATGTTGACGCTATCATCAGCAAAGCATCACGTGTGATAGATATCATTTATCCGGGCAATTTAATGCATGAACCGGTTTGGATATCAAATGTCTGCTGCTATCGGGCCAGACGCTGTGTATGGCAATAAACTAGGACACCAGAAAAAAATCAACTGCCTGTGTCCATTTGATCACCAATTTCGCTGTGAGATGTGATCGGCACACAAATTTACTAATAAATGTTGAGTCAATTTTCGAACGAGTTTACTGATTACATTTAAACAGTTTCCACCTATGGGATAAAGGGAGCGAATGGCTGGGAGTGACTATAATTGCGCAATATCAAAAGCAGACTCCAAACACATGTAGGTGGGATTTAAAATTGAGAATAAAAAATGTCATGTGAGTAATCGCTTGAAGGGTCACATTGTATTTAAAGGTTATTTGTGAGGAAGTGTAGATTGCTGAAATTTCTACCGAGAGGCAATGTAGTGAGCTCCCTCCATTTTATAGCGAAAGTATTTCCGAGAGGTGCAAACCAATACCTTGCTTCCTCTACCAGCTGCGGCCTTGGAGGCATTCCTATCAAAGATGAGGTTGCCTCGAGGGATCTAGCCACTCTGTTTCTTCACCGGCCACGTATAATGAAGATCACCATAGTTGTGTGACTAATAAAAAATGCTGAATACTGGCTCAGCCACTTCGTCAAACCCACTCAGTTTAGTGTGGCAAAAGTGCAGCAGTTCCTGCAACATTACTAATCGACCCACTTTGGTACCAGACAGTTTTTGTGGCTCATATTTTGCAACGTTTTTCATCAACTTTTAGTTCACATCGTTCGATTATGAATCGATTTTCTATTCTCACTAACGCTCTAACCCTGAAGCTTCAATGCTGCGCTATAGACGATTATCAAGCCAATCTGTACTCTCGTTCCGTGTGGTATCATCGACAACGGATCGGACTACAGCAGGAAGGGCCTACAATGGATCGAAAAAACCAAGTGACTTTACGGCCGATCAAGGTCCCTGCCTCATGCTGTCTCCGAACTGCGAACAATTTGCATTATATGAATTTGACAGCCTGCCAAAATGGGCCACTGGATCCGATTCACAATCAGTACATCAACGCTAGAGTAAGTGCGCTACCTATTTGAAACCCTTTTAATAAACTTATGGTCACCGGTAACAGAATTCGCTGTATTTTGAAATGCACGCTCCAAAGCTGTTTTGGGCAAATTAGTTCATTACTCCCTTGGTTGATTTAGTGATGCTATCATGGATTTGATGACAGATTAGCAAGTTTCATTTCCCTTTACGAAAATTGGACGAACGACTGACACTCGTCTTTGCCGATGGTCACTACAAGCTTTAACGCTGAGGCTATCAGCGGTATCACCGTCACATTCAAACAGAAGTTCTTAGCCTTAAGTCCGAAGGTCACACACATTCTGAGCAACTGAAATATCGGTTGGTTTTTTCAGTGCCAGATTTTAATTTCCATAAATTAAAAATGGTAAGCAAGCGGTACAAAGGTGCAGAGACCATGAATGGAAAAACCCTTGTCTTACCCTGTCATGAAGTAAGCTACCCTCTTCTTGGAGGATGGTTAAGTTCTGTAGATTTGTACATCGCAATCTAGGTCATATGGTTCCCATCCAACTCATTCGAATCACTTTACCAACTACCAGCCTACAGAAATGCTATTCGTCACTACTGGGTTCACTAGTTGATCACTTACAGAGTGGAACCTTAAGTGAAAACTGCCAAATATCCTCACAGTACCATCAATCTATGGGTAACTCTGAGGAAGAACAAAATTCACTCAGTAAGTGAAGCTTTCGTCTGAGAAGTCGTTGCTTGAGGAGCAAGTCATCACCTAAAACCACTTGATGTGGATCTACTGACTGGAAGATGAAAGGCGCTATGTCCTGAATAATGGCGATTTAATCACACTAGTGATCAGCCGATCGTGGTTGAATGGTTGTAATCAAACTGCCATGCTGAATTTACTGGGTTAAATCTTTATGAAATCCGTGCTGCTGCTGATTCCCGATGAGAATGAATCAGTTTTACACTTCTTCTGGACCTTTCGGCACAGAAAGGCTTCAGTTACAGGACGAAAACTTGGTTAACACATTTCCACCTTCTAGTTTATAGAATCTTTATTTAGGCTAACTGTTTCGTACTCCATCAATTCGACTGACTGACCCCTTTTTGTATCCAGGTCCAATGTGTTAAGTTCAGTTAAGTGGCATTCAACAGGCGACTGTTAGAAATGTCATCGCTCCATCACACGTTACTATTAGCTGATGAGAAAAGATCTGAAATGAGGCTGCAAGCCTAACGTTTAATACGTTGGTCCGTAAAAGGTGCGCTGCCAGAATAAGACCTAAACCAGTGGCCGATTAAGAAATATAATAGAGCGTTACCCACAGTCTTCACGCCATCTCACAAGAAGCTGTGTGGGAATATGTTTATTTTATCTTGATTACTCTTGAAGTAAAAGCCAATAGGTTTGGAATCCCACTGGATGGTAATCACTGAGTCGCAAATAAATTTGGCACATGGGTTTGCTGGAGCAGAATCTAGAGTTTCTGTTTCCATTTTTTATTGTATCCCCAGTCGCCTGTATTTTTACACAAAAATAGGCAGGAAGTTGAAGTATTAATTGATAATTTCCTGGGGCTTGATGAGTTTTCTCCATCATGGCTGTAACAGCAAGTAGGCACTTGGAGCCACTTACTAAGTTATACTTGGAGAATAAGGCTGTCGTTGATGATTATGATGAATAAGGCAAAGAACCCCAACATATTTCAATAGAACGGAAAGCAGCTCATAAAGGCAATCATCTGGCGAATGTTGTATGCAGAAAGCCTGCGTCCGTCCTATAGAGTACGTACTCAAGTTTCTGGCCACTATCGCTGTTCTCATTTGATTATTGTGGTTTGTGAAGCAGATGCGCAGATTACCAAAGTGTCTGTCCTATGTGATGTACGGACTGTCCGATTTTCTTGTAGCAGTTACAGCGGATAGTTGATTATGTTGTTAAGTGAATATACATGTGCTTTTCCAGAGACAACCTTGACTTTCGAAAATGTCGCAGCCTGGCTTGGTGGTACTTAAGGTGGACATATGAAATGGTTCAAAATCACTGAGGTGCCCATTGTAAGTGAATAATATCCCAGTCAGTGAATAATGTGCGAGCGAAGGTTCCATGAGTGGACGACGTACGGGAGAATGGAAAAAATGCCCTGTCTTTTAATTGGTGGAAGCAGGTGGGAGGTGCTCTACGCCGCTTCAGCTTTTCTTGGTGGGCATGCTTAATCAACTAGACTAGTAGATCACTTCGGTAACCAGGACCCTATTGAACAGCGTCTTATCCTAACTGCAAAATCGTTAACTGACAGCGAGCACGTTGCGTGAGAGATTGTTGCACACTGTTTGTGTGGTGCTACAAACATTCGGCTCCATAAGCACAACCTGTCTGCTAATCTGGCATACTTGGATGACACAATCTTAGCTTCAAACTTCTTCCATTACTGATATCTTCTCGGAACAGTTGTCTTGCTTGCTATATTCACACTCACTTTCAGGGTCCAAGACGTCCTCATTTCGGTCTGCAGCGCTTCACATTTCCTTGAGCTGCCAAAATGGATCGCACTTATTTCATCAGAGTGGAAAATAGCCAAGGTTTGCCATAAAAACTGATCACACCGTGAATATCTGGCTGCAGTAGCATTCGCTCTGACGGCTGTTTAGACGACAGAAGATCAGAAACGTGACAGAGAGATACATCGCCTGTTTTGCTTGAATTAACTAAACGAGTATGTGCACGTAATCGTCCACCAAATAGTGATAAATTCAGGCGAGTGCGGTGTTTTATATCCAAAAAACACCAGACATTTTTGCCCCGTATCAATATATGAAGGTCACTTTCTTCTCTCAACTGAATTTATAAAAATATACTTCATCTGGTTGGGCAGGAAACTATTAGAAAGGTTTATTAAAATTCGAATATTCTATTAACAAGCTATCCCCCAATGTTGTTGCAGCTTGCCACATTGCACTGGAATTGATCATATGCCATTACAATATACATGAAATAAATACGCTCATCATACCATCAAGCCCATGGAATATAAACTAACAACTATGTACTATAGGGAAATGATAAACTCACTGCCTTGTACATCGTCCCCTAATGGTTTTGTGAACCGAAAATTATGGGCTTTTAACATGGGGCGATCGTGCCACCTGAACTGCTTAAAATTCGATGAAATTATCATGGTGTTTTTGTTTCTGTCCTAACACAGGGCTGTTCAACTGCTCTGGCTGAATTCTTCCAGAATTTTCTCGTTCTCTTTGTGGTCGTACCACTGGTCCTTCTCGGTTTCCTGGTAAGGAAAGTTTTTGGTTTCTCACTGTTTTTCCCCTATTAAATTAGATCAGTACAAGCATCAGGTCGCTGACATGTTGTGTTTCTCAGGAGAAAAATCGCAAGGTAAAACTTTAGTTTATATGTTAACCAGATGCTCCCGGCCTCCATTGTGGACTGCATTCAGAAAATACTTTTTGTTTGCTGTTTTTTACCAGCCACCAAATTTAGGGGGACAAGTAAAGCTAGTGAAATTGTGGCCGTTTTCAAGTAGCAATATCTGAATAATATTCAGAGGGTGGCGGGGGCACTGAATGGGGGACTTTGACATCATTCACTGTGACAGTCCAATTCTGAATCTCATTTAACACTGTTAAATTTCGTACGCTTAAAAGCGAGTAGAGAGGAACTTTGCACCTTTTCTTTTCACGAAATTTTATGGTTGAGAGAACAAATATTTTCTTCGGACCATCTTCGTTGAGTGCTATCCAGATGATGAAGAATGCATAAAAGGCTGTAACAAACAGGCAAAGACCATGGTCCGAGCGAACATAAAGGTCAAGATTGAATACCGAAGGCTTTTCATTCTTTTTATTCTAAAATCAGATAAGACACCACACCTCCATAAGGTTGGTACACTGAAATTGTTTATAACTTAAAGGCATTCTTCAATTTTGGATTGAGCTCAGTCAGAATCCAACAGACGTATGAAAACGGATGCTCTGTAGTCACCACAAACCAATTTTTACCATTATTATTGCCAGTAATGGCAGAAGGTGCAAACACTGTAAATGTCATCTTGCGTTTGTAGATGGCGTACTAGTAGCTGGATTTATTGCCAGTATTAGAAAAAATCACCAAGTTATCCTCGACTACTTGCGTTTTTCTTCAAGTTGAATGAACCATTCTTTAAAGGCCTTGCGCTACTTGAATTGTTCACCGATGGGGTGCCCGAGTCTTTAGTCCTTTAGCTCAGGATATATTTTTCATTCGTCAAATCGGGTAAGGCATAGAAATGTATGGATTCGAAAATTTTCTTCTGCTTTCTGCTCTCTTACTGAATAAATGACCTAGCACTTTGCAGTGTAAAACGGCAGTTCCATGGGAGAAGTATTAGTAAAATCCCTGCGTTTCAAGACGTTAACAAGCGACGTGAATCGTGCCTGGCCAGAAAATATTTCTGTTCACGTCACGACCTGTTTTAAATGTATAAAAGCTTGCCTTCTCTGATTGGTTGGATACACTGAAAGTCACGAGAGACTATGTCAGCCACACACGGAGTGACCGTTTTGTTTATGCTCATCATTTTACTTTGGATTCCTGGTGGATCTGGCAGGTGTACAGGGTTCGTATCAGAAAAGATGCTGAACAACGAAACCATTTCTTTCAAAGTTTTTCAGAGGCATAGGTTTCCAATCAAGGCTGTAACAGCCATTGATCATGTAAACAAAATTAGGAATAAATTCCTTCTTTTAGATGTTGCTTGGGTGACGATTTCTTACGTGGCTGGAACACCTTATGAAAAGTGTAGGTTGATTTGGCATAGACTGTGATCCCTACAGAGTTGGTAGATGAAACAATCCTGTTACGTTGACCTCCAATACTCCATTTCACAAGCCACAATCACAGTTGATCATTTCGCAGATAACTTCGTGATCTTCTATACAGAACAATGTCCGACCACCTTCGTGATTGAGAGAAACGCCATGGAGTACATCACACAGATAGCGCTAAGAGGATTCCTGGAGTAGATTGTGTTTTCTTCAGTGCACTTTCCATGTATGAGCCGCTTTCCGGGAGTGTTGATGACTAATCCACATGTTTTGTGCTACTCGTGAGTAGGTAGAAAGACAAGCGAATAGGATTCACTGTTCGTTAAGTTGGCGCAGGTTACTCAACTGGTGATATCTTTGGCCTTGTTGATCCTTGGGACATGACAAGCCGAGTAGAGTGCATTTCCTAGCTGCAAACGCCTAGGTTGCCACAGATGTTGTTGATGAACTTCATTTAAGATCGTAAAAGTAATCCTTGGTCAGCTACTTAACCACTCCGACTATCTGGGAGCGCTCCAATGTGATCGTGTACAAAGATACATATTATACTTACGATATTAGTCGGAGCTTACTGCCGAATCAATGACTTTATCACGGACTTTCAATTTTTAAGGGCTGAAAATCGTTCCCTGGATAATCTCTGCATAATGTTCAACCTGGAATTATCACAGACGCTGAGCATATGTTTTTTAGGACAATAAACACCTAATTGATGAGGTTTCAGTCAGATCGTCATCCAACTAACCACACAGCATTATTCAATAGCCCTTTATCGAGCAAAAAAGAATCTCTAATCCGCCAGATATAATGGATGTAAATCAATTATTTCTTTGAGATTCTGACGGATAATGTGAAAGACGGGACACCCTGGAACACCCATTACAAGTTATATTCTGATATTCACTTCTGGCTTCCAAAGAGGTAAGGGCAGTCTCATGAGAGGTAATGGAACTTCTGAGTTATGTATATCCTTCTACAACTTTCAGTGTCACGCCTTGATTTTTGGAAATATATCCGAAGACTTCACGCCCCGCAGCTTGAATTTGCCTGTGGACGGTAATGGAAATTATTATCAGGGGGGTTTGTTATTTGCGGGTGCTAAAATAATAATACCATTGCCCCAGTTTGTATTATTATCGAGATCTGAGGTACGTAAATTATTGGTTTCCCGTAACTTTGATGGACACTGTACCTTCCATGAGGGGCCTTATTCTTCAACTAAAACAATTAGGTAATTTTTAGGAATGGTCTTTTTTGGGATGTATGTTGCTTTGGTTCTTCGTTGCGTTGGGAGTACTTCACTTGACACAACTTTGATAGAACAGTTCTTAGCATTTCGAACTCCAGTCAGATAATGACCAGTTTCAACCGCGAATGTGGCTGATCACTGAGCGACACAAGTTCTTGTTGCTAACACAAACGCTTCAGTGATATGTCACGAAATTATCCACCAAGTTGACTAGAAAAGAAACGAGTTTTATCGATATGGCGACGAAACGTCTAGCGCAAGATGGGAAGGCTACTATGCAAAACCAACCGTGTGTTTTTTGATGAAAACCAAAGACATCCTACATCATGCTTAGTCCTTTTTTTATTAATTTCGACCACTGCCAACGCAGCTGATGGAAGAAGGACGAACTTTCCCCGTTATTGCTTTAGGAGAAACTGGGAACTTCATTTTATAAACTAGTTGACGAATCAAAATGACCAACTAAAATTCTTCACTACTTAGGGTTTGAAACCATAGAGAGAAAGACGCTGCTAACAGGTCTTATTGTGCCCTGCCATCTTGGTTAAATGCTCCGAGAATAGACAATGATGGATTTCGAGAAATACACTCACTTGCAAATCTATTTGGTTTTCACGGGAGACTCAATTGAATCTCTCGTTTATGATGTTCTCCAGCTGAATGTGCTGCACACAGGCCGCCCCAGGATTCAGTT